CTGGACAGGTAACCAGTCTATCACAGGGCTACACTTAGAGACAGACAACCAAGCACACTCACCCATTACCTGTACACCGCTTAATCCTCACTAGGGTCGCGGGGGGGCTGGAGCCTTCTAGAGGAAACAGTTCCATCTAAGCCAGAGGTGTCCAGTCCTGGTCATGGAGGGCCACAGTCCTGCATGTTCTAGATGTTTCCCTTCTTCCAACACACCTGGTTCAAATGATCAGGATCGTTATCAGGCTTCTGCAGAGCTTCATGATGAGCTGATCATTTGAATCAGGTGTGTTGGAAGAAGGGAAACATCTAGAACATGCAGGACTATGGCTCTCGAGGACCAGGATTGGACACCCCTGGTCTAAGAGGTTAACTTTATGAAAACACCTTCGTTAAATTTGAAATATGTTCCTTGGATACACAGAGACGTGTTTAATGGTGCAGCTGATGCCTGCAGAGGAACTCCAGGTGAATAACATGAAGATTCAACAAACATGAACACGTGTGCATCCTGCTGCATTGATTAAGCTCAGAAACAGGATCCGTTGATTAGATTTTTTTATTTTATTTTGACTTCATTATGTACACGATACAGCTGAGCATTCCCCGTCTGCAGGGACACATGAACAGAAATAATGATATCCAATGGCCACCAGTGATTAAAACATCCCGTCTACTCAAATGATGCGTTTCCCACAAAAAGGAAGTCTGACAGGATGGTTTCTGGAGGACGCGTCTCAAGCACACCTGAAATCAGATCTGTTTTTTTACAACTCAGTGATCCCACTCTGATCACAATGAAGTGGTGAAGTAAAGGAAAGCACATCCTAGAGAGACTCAACAGGAGGTCAATGTTTGGGATCTATCCCAAGCTGTTCCACACATTTTTTTTTTACAATATACAGCAAACTGTACATACACGATGTACTCAGTCAGCAAAGGCACAATGCCATTCCCATTGGTTTTTTGCATCAGCTTTTAACCTTGCTTTAAGCACTGCAAATAGAAAAAACTGAAGTTCAAGTTTTCAGCAAGGAAAGTGTCTGAAATCCCGTCTGAATGTGATCTATGCCACAAAATAAATACTGTAAGACAGTCAGGCCAGTTTTGGAATATATATATATATAAAAAAAAGCTGCATTGGAAGTTGTTGTAAGACATGTTCTGTGGAAATAATATTATCCAGTACATGCTTCTTATTATGACGACAGAAGAAGTCAAATGGACTCGTCCCACATTCTGCTGCCTCGTCTAAATACCACTACATAATAAATACATAGTTTGCATAGTGTGGACAATGCAGTGGAACCACATGGCACTTGAAATAAATAAAAAACAAAGAAGGAAAGTGGAGTAAAAAGTGGAGTGAATGCTCGTTAACACAGTTGTACCGGAATGGTAGAAAAAAAAAAAAAAAAAGACAATCAGTCCACTGGCCCACATGACAGCCTCCACGTCTGATAAACCAGCTTCACCTGAAAACAAGAGCGTAAAGCTGAAGAGCACACATTCAGTGTAGAAAACAAAGCCAGTCCTCTTAAAAACACACGAACCAAACACGTTTGAACCTCGTAGAAAAACCTGTTAAACACTTCAGCTGTTGTTTTCCAACGTTTGTTAGTTTACCAGCAAAAAAAACAAACAAAACACATTTAAACAGTGCTTTTGGTCAGTTTGTAGAATCAGTATTTGGATCGCAAGAAACCGTTGAAGCTAATTTTTTTTTGCATTGTGGGAATCTGCATCCGACCGTGTGGTCCGTTTCAGGATGCGTGTCGAATGGCTTGACTCCAGAGGCTCATATAGCAGCTTCACATCACACACACAGGCCAAACACCTCCAATCAGACGGCTCTCAGCCGATGGGTCATCCTCCTCTAACACTGTAGATGCACACTGAAAGCACACTGAAAGCACCAAAGCACCGGGGACACGGACGCAGCCTGGATCAGTACAAGGCAGTGGTACCACTCCGGCTCAGAGCTCGTTGTTCTGAAAGCGAGCCGGTGGCCACGAGGCCGCACGAGAAGAGTTGAAGAATGAGCGCAGGAGATTAAAGCGACACACAAAAAGGCTTTAAGAGTCTGTTTACATTCAACACAAAGAAACTGAGCAGTGCTTCTGGACAGACAGCATTCCAGTCACAGGAGGACAGCAGCGCCGGCATTTGGTACTGATTGTGGTGGAAGTGATGCTCTCAGCTGAATTTTCACTTCTGTCTTTTTATAGCTGCTTTTCTGTTAGTCGTGCTCCACTGACAAAGGCAATGTGATCTGTTTTCCCTCAAATAGAAAGAATACTGTGTTCATTGTGGAATCCAATAAATCCACCTACTGACGGTGGAACCTGCAAGCTCTGGTCAGTTAAAGAAAGCCAGACAGGCTGGAGGAGAAACAAGCATGATCTCCCAGACTGGAAGACAGAAGAGCACCAGTAAACCAGATGATAACTGAGCCCACTGATGAGCTGGCATTACTCAGCCAACCACTGAGGAGCTCCTCTCTCCCTGACCAGGTATCCACTGCACTGAAACTGCTGATTATCTGCGGCAGGCTGAGGAGGCCACGCTGAGTCACGACCGTCTGGGAGGCCAAAGGAGGGGAAGGCGCTGCTGGAAGAGCTGGTGATCGGCGTTGACAGTGTCAGTCAATTTCTTAAAAACTTCTACAAGTCTCTTTGAAAGAAGACAACTCAAAGGAAGAGGAGGAGGAATTGGAAGAGAGCTAATGTTCGCAGGCGAGCCGAGCGTCATAGGTTCATCCGTAGATGTTCGGGCCGCTTCGAGTTCAGGGGGTAGGCCTGCTTCTTGTACGGCCCGGCGTTGAGGCCTGAAGGCTGCCTGATGGGAAGCGGAGCGGAGGCCTCGCAGTTGCCGCTGCCGCTCGTGTCCATGTGCTCCACGGTCGACACCTCCATGGGCTGGTCCACCGAGCCGCTCGGGGACAGCAGGGACGAGCTGCCGGTCAGCGACGGGCCCCGAGGCCAGCAGTCCCCTCCGGCAAACTTCACCGGACTGTGGAGAAGATACGAGACGCTTGTGTTATTCTGCTGTTGGTCACAGAGGCCGTCATGTGGCGTCAGGTTGAAATGAATGTGTTTTAATCAGGGCTGGGCATCGTTAACACTTTGATGGGACACAGCTCTGAGTGGTGCTGCTCATCCAACGGTTCTGCTTCTTTTCCTCACTTTTTAGGAGAAGTTTCATTTGTTTTAAAAATCAACATTGTGAACCCTATTAGCTGCATCTAGGTTTGGAAATCATGTCTTTTTGTTTTTTAAAATCGCCTAAATTACATCATTGATCGCAGCAAGGACGTGTAAAAACAGGAAGAGTCGCAAAACCGTCCTGCGTTTCTTCAGTAAAATCCTCCAAAGTGAAGCCAAACAATAAGGTTATCGATCTAAATTAATTCATTCTACATGTCTCATTTAAACATGTCCCACTGTAAAACACATCTGTAAATAAACTACACATTCCTGCTCGTCAGCTGTTTATTATTTTCATATATTCATGCCTCAGCTGTGACCAGCTCATATGGGAAACATTCAGGGACTTTTCTGCTGAGCTGCCGGCTGTGTTACCACAAAGATGATAAAAAGGAAATATGATGACAAACTAAAAGTGAAAGTTGTTGAATATCTACAGTATGCAAAGTCAGCATTTTTTTCCAGGTGTGGTAACGCCTGTGGAACATCTGTGGACACCTGGAAGAATGTTTGTAAAAATGAATAATCGATGAAATTCAATTTTGTGATCTATGGCATTAGAACTGTGTTACACAAACGTGTCTCTGTGTTCTGTACTTGTAGTCGTGGTCGTACTGGTCCAGAGGTGCAGGACTTTCTACTGCAGTGCAGAATGAGGCCACAGTGAGCAGAACAGAGGTTCAGAGGGTTAAAAAAAAAAAAAAAAGAATGAAGCTCGCTCTTTTCCCGCTTTGTTTAATTTCCTCTCTTTCATTCTTCACATTTAAGCAACACTGAATGTTGGACTTTTCCTTGGACAGTATTTCTACTGTGTGTTATAAATAGTTCTACTGAAGAACACAGAGTACTTCTTCTCCGACTGCCAACGCCAACATCCAGTTAGAGAAAGAGCAGAGTTTGTCTGGAGTCCCCAAAAATCCCAGAATGCCCCTGCCCTGACTGATCGTCTATGACGGCTGAATGACAGCTCACATGACGCTTGGACCGGTTCAGATTGGACTGAAGTAGCCACAGTCACACAGTCAGCTGGCTAACGGTTGCTTTAACCACGAACACATGTTGGTGTCACTTAGGTGGCTTTAATAAATGTGCCCCAGCCAAGTCCTCATCGCAACTCACGGAGAAAAACGTGTCTGGAACAATACTGAGGCTAAAGGCCAACTGACTGGAAACCTACAAAACTTTCTTTATCTGTATGACGAGCAACTGTTTTCCTTTTGTCTCCAGTTCCTTTAGTTCAGCTAAGAGTTTCCAGAAGTGACCCTACTTATTAGACTGGTCATGGAAGAGATAAGCTGCTGTGTCACTGCTGAGGAAGCTTCACCTTCCAATAATGGCCTGACGTGGGCCGAGCTGGGTACGTTTACAAGGTCAGCAGCTGAGTCACGAGTCTGGGAAAGGTTTGTTTTGGAAAATATCTGTAAATGTGCGACCTAATTCCACAGAGCTAAAGACAAAAACAACAAGCCGTTACCTCACAGGTGTTCTTGGACTTCCTGGGAACTTCCGCGGTGAGCGGACCTTTGGCTCGAAGGAGAACTTCTCTTTGACGTTTTCAAGCACAGATGGGGCTACATATGTGAAACCCTGGGGAAGGGGTGGGGGACAGAAACACACAGAGAGGATCTGAGTCCACCTCTTCAAAGCCCACTTTCCAAAAACAACCCACAGCTGATGATGAGCAATGAAACGCTGAGTAAACCATATCATGCAATGTGGTGGAACAGTGAGTGAAGCTTCCAGGAAAGCCAGCAGGACTGAACCAGATGGGACGCATTAACTGATTCTCGTAAGACCCACTTGTTGAAAAGGAAATAAAAGACATTATGTCCAAAGCTACAGAGCCTCTGTGTGTATGTTTGCAAGACGACAACACAGAACCAGTGAAGGGCAGGAGTAAAAGCACAGTGTTCTATTAAAAGCTGTCTGTGCTGCAGCTTGAATTCAGCATCAGGACCATCAGTGCTGCACTAAAATAAGAGTTTATTACCTGCAAACAGCATCTGACGAAGCTTTTTCTTAAAAAGCATGCATAGAAAACGCCTGACTCTGGCTCCAGGCTGTGAGTTATCTGTCACATAGCGCTGGGCTGCATGATGTGCTGCAGCTTCAAGAGCAAAAGTACTTTAAATAATATTTAGAAAGTTGAGATGACCCGTTTTGCTCCCTTGAGTCATGTGTTGCATGTGAGAGTCTCCGTGGTTTATCAGGGATTAGTCCTTGTATAACTTGTTATGAAAGTCTGTGGAAACTGTGAGAGTGAACCTGCAGGAGCCATCGTGTGCCGGGCAGCGCGACACCAGTTACCCACCAGGAAGACTTGGTTGGCACTTTCGCTGAGCGTGGAGTCGTCAGGACTGTCCACTGGCGTCTGGCTGGTGAACTTGGAGTCAAACTGACTGACATCATCAGCAGATTGCTGCCAAAGGAAGCAAGTCAGTTAATCGTCTTGCAGAGACAGGTCACCGAGGACGTTTCTGCAGAGAGGACACACTCACCAGAAATGGTTTGAATGGAGGCTCCACTTTGCGAGCGAGGAGGTCGTCCCAGTTTATATGCCGGAAGAATGGATGGGCCTGGAAAGCAGCAAGGTTTGCACATGTCAGGACCTCTATCAGCTTTCTCGTCTATTGTACTGTAGGTCCAAAAATAGCTCAAAGATGTATTTACCTGGACCTCAGCAGCATCTCCTGGTCCAGCCCCGAGTCGCAAAGAGGCATTTCGTTTGAGCAGCTGCAAAACAAAGTTGGGAGATTGTTCTTCTGTCTGGCTACACGTTTTAGTGGAAACAGCAGGAGGCAGGAGGAAGGCTGGAACATCTCACCTTTTTCAGGAGGTCCCTGGCTTCTTGTGTGAGGTAAGGTGGAAGGCTGAGTTTGCATTTCAAGATTTTGTCAATCGTCTTCTTTCGGTTTTCACCAGTGAACGGAGGCTGAGACAGAGAAGCAGGTCAGAAAGGACAGCTACATGTGATGCTCTCATCAGCAGTGGCGCTCTGGGGTTGATCGGCGTGTTACTTACTGCTCCTGTCAGCATGTCGTACATGAGCGCTCCCAGACTCCACCAGTCCACGGCCCGGTTGTGTCCACTCCTCATGAGGATCTCTGGAGCCCTGAGGAGGCAACAGAGGAGGACGAGGTGACGCAGCAGCAACACTGAGCCGTGTGTGAAACAGGAAATAGAACTATACAACTACAGTCTCAGCTCATCTGGTATTTGTGTTCCATACATGTACTCGATGGTGCCGCAGAAGGTGTGGGTGACCGTTCCGTCATGGATGGACTCTTTGCAGAGACCAAAGTCTGTCAGCTTCACATGTCCTAGAAGGTAGATGGAGGTTAGAGGAGACAAGCTGGACCCCAAACAAGCAGCAGATTAACTATCAGAGAACCTGCAGGGAAGGTTCACGCTGACAACAGGATGTTAGTAAAGGACATGCTTGTAGGTGTGACCTCTCCTGATCAGTGATCAGATGTTGGGTTTCTGTACCGTTGTTGTTGAGCATGATGTTCTCAGGCTTTAAGTCTCTGTAGATGATGCCTTTCTGGTGCAGATGACCCAGCGCCATCGAGATCTCAGCCAGGTAGAAACTGTCAACAGAGAACAAATGCTCACAATGCAGGTCCCGCGTCGATGAAAAACTCTTGACATTTGTACAGTTTGTTTTCCTCAGTACAGATCACCGGTTCTGTGTATTTATACCTCAGTGCTCAGAGGTGTTGTTCTCCATGTCATGCAGGTTATTCTTGGAACATTACACACCCGTATTTGTTGGGCTGCTCGGTTCATGTGGTCACCTGTTACATCTACAGGTTGTGTTGATAAAACAGAGTGTCTGTCTCTGTTGGACTGAGCCTCACGCTGCCTGACGAACGCTGTCACATATCCGTCTGCTTTCACACAAACCCATTCTTCTAACTATACATTTCCTACAGAAGCATTTCCTTGTTGAATATCGTTGTCTTTGTGATGCGGTCTGGTAGTAACGGACCGTAGCTGATCCGCACAGATCCACACCCACAGCTGGTGTGTGAACCGCAGATTAATGGCAAAGTTTAACCATCAGACAGTGAGATTCAGGGAATTTTTTAAGTAACTAGAAGGACACTCAGGCCAATTCTCTTCCTCAAAACTAAAGCAATGGATCCAGATCTACAACAAGTCTGATTGGCGATGCTTCAGCTCTTTCTGAAGTTCAATGAAACGTGGTTTTTCTTTACATTATCCTGCTTAAAGACAAACAGGCACAGAAACCATTCCTAGACGTCTTAGAGAAAAACTATTTGTTAATTTGCAAAATGAAATAATGCAAATCACAAAGGCTACTAAGCTTAATAAAGACATTAACGCTGTGAGTCAGCTTTGTTTTCCTATGAATCATATATACAACATGACGTCACTCTGGTCTCTGATGTATCAGGCTGTACTTGGTGTGTTTTACAGCTCATCAGAGTTAAAAACTCTTGTCAGTAGTTTCACAAACTCATGCCATCTTCATTGTGCGACTCTTCTAATGGTAACTCCTGTGATAATGTTCCATCACGCTGTACTTTGAGCTAAATTTATATCAGCGGTGAATAATTCCCTAAACAGACACACAGCGGTTGTTGTGTGTTCACATGAACGGACATGTTGTTGTAGTTTTTTTGTTGCTGAGCCTTAAAATGATCGAGTCCGTGACTCAAAAGCTGCGATACGATCCAAATCCTGATGTTTGTAATCTGCTGCCATCACAATCCAAGCAGCTGCTGTTAGTTTCTTCAGAACTATTTCCTTGCTAGCAATAATTTGCCAGGCCAGTTTCTAACCTTGCTGTTCATCATGAGTCGACAAAAGAGAAAGCTGGCAGCACCATGTGTTTGTTAAGACGTTCATATTGTAGTCATCTGGGAGCGGTTTAGTGTTGGAGACACAGACGCCAGCTTCAAAACATGTGTTCAAATATAGTAGGTGTGGGTGGAAAAGTTAATGAAACAAGTCAGAGGAGATTTAAATTTACATGTTCAAGCAAAAATATCCATCCATCATCCATACACCACTTGATCCTCACCATGGGGGGCTGGAGTCTATCCCAGCTGACTCAAGGTGAAGGCAGGTTCACCTGGACAGGTAACCAGTCTATCACAGGGCTACACTTAGAGACAGACAACCAAGCACACTCACATTCACACCTACGGACAATTTACAATCACCAATTAACCTCAGCATGTTTCTGGACTGTGGGAGGAAGCCGGAGAACCCGGAAAGAACCGTCAGGGAGAACATAGAGACAGAAAGATCCCGGGTTTCCACACCGGGACGCCAACCGGTGACCTTCTAGCTGTGAGGCAACGATGCTAACCACCGATCCACCTTGCATTCCCTCAAGCAAAATATCTAATATCTGATATAGGAAAATGATCCATCTTTTCTGAACATTAATGTCACAGGAAACGTTCCTGATGATCAGCTGTAGAAACATGAACGCTGGTGAGATGGTTCAGCTCCACCTGCAGCAGACTGACTAACTCACCATGCTGTGTCCTCCATGAAGATGCCTTCTCTTTCCAGCTGCATAAACAGCTCCCCACCTGCAGGCACCACACACAAAGACGAGCATTCACATATGTCCACCATGGAACTGGAGATCCACATGTTTACTTTACTGAGAAAACTCATAAGTGTTGCTGATCAAAGAGCATTTACTCCACTTGATGCTGGACCGGGCATCATTATGCTCACCGCTCAGATACTCCAGGATGAGGTACAGCTTTCCTCCTGTCTGGAAGGCATAGATGAGGTCCACGATGAAAGGATGCTTCACCTCCTCCAGAATGTTCCTCTCGGCTTTGGTGTGCGCTGTGTCCTTTGCGTTACGCACAATCATGGCCTGGCAGGGGACAGAAAAGCAGATAGAGGTCGGGTGTGAAACCATTCAAGCCATAAATCTTCAACTGTAACATCAGCTGCAGAGGCAGAGCAGGAATCAGGACGCCAGGATGGTAGCTACAAGTCTCATTAAGCCAATGAACTCAGTCATTAACCAAAACCTCAAGCTTCGGGGAAAACGGGTTGGGTTTTCAAAGTCAGACATCAGCTCTGTGTCAACGGCAGAAAGGAGGTCAGGCTGAACAGAGGGAGCAGCTCTGAGGTTTCATGGGGAAAAGCCTGGTGCCATTATTTTGGGTGGTCTGACCTTAGCTTCTGGCTTCATCGCTGAATGCAGCAGGAGGTGACCAGAGGAGCCACACGGCGACACACAGCTCATGTGAAACACTTTATCCAGCGTAGGGCTCGGGAAGCAACTAAACATTAAAGAAGCAAGCTATCCGTAGATGTATGCTGCTTGTGTTTGCTCACATGTGGATTAGGTAGCTGGTTCATCGAGTCTGTAGCACTGGAATACTGTGTATGTCCACTAGGGGGCAGCTAGGTTCACCTTTACTGGCTGATCTTTGGATAGAATGAACAGAAAGGAGCTCTTCTCCATATCAGAGACAAACAGGCACATTCACTCACCTTCTTCAAAACTTTCATAGCAAATATCTTCCCAGATGTGGCGCCTGACACCTTCCGAACTTGAAACACCTGTAAAAGTTCACATCACATCAGGATTTCAACGGGGTCACCCAGCGTGATTTTAGACTTTAAAACCCTTTTTACCACCACACAGAGTGCAGAGTAAGTCCTGCGTCACAGTCTGTTAAAGCCCGGTGCCTATAGCGAGGCAGCTAGAAGCAGTGATGGGCTCACTGTGGCTCAGCAGCAGCACAGTTCACTTTGGAAGGACTGCTGTCGTTTAGATATTTAGTTTGTCTTAAAAAACATTTTATGACACAATGTTCTTATTGCAGGGAAGAGAAAATGTTTTTTCTTTTGTAAATTGATCTGAAAAAAAAAAAACAACTAAATGTTTTCAAACAAACAAAGAGACGATTATGGTTTGTCTGTGCAGACCAGATCATTTGTCCCAACTATGGGCTGAAGAATAATACTTTGTCGTGTCTGGGACATTGAGAAAAATGATTTGGACAAACAAAGCAGACAGTGTTTTCCCACAGACGAAGTTCAGAACCTGCTCTTGTACATAATGTGTTGTCATGTTCCTGGGAAACCAATGACCAGACACTGCCTCTGTTATAACAATGGCTGTTAATCTTGTGTTATTCTGACTGCGCTGCGACGAGGGACCGCTCTGACTCTGCGCAACACTAAGTTAGTGTTCTGAGTATTTGGATAATACCTAAAAAAAAAAATGTTTAAGCTCTCAGTTTTAAGGCCAGGAACCAAACCTATGCCAAAATATATACTTGTGCAACTGCACCGGGGCATCAAAACAAATGACGCTCTTTTAATCTGCAACACGAAGAAATTCCCAAGTTACAGAAAACGACTTCTTAGTCATCGCAGACGAAACCACTTCAAGAAAAAATAAGTCATGCGTCTGCTTGCTCAGTGAAAAATGGTTCCAGAATAGCTGTGATGTGCACCGTCACTGTCACGTTCAGACAGACGGCATCAGCTCGACACGCTGGACACACAAAAAAACAACAGCAACAGCAAATTAAAGTCGCGCAAACAAGGCGCATCGCTCAGCGTGCACTCGTGTTTAACATCAAGATGTGTTTTCTAATATTGGATAAAGGGGATTACAGCTTGGCTTGGTTTGTGCAGCAAGTGTGGGAATGGTTCTGAGGCCAGACCTTACAGTTAAAGGTGCAAGAGATTTTTTTGAACCGCAGACAAAAAAACACATTGCAATATATCTGGGAAATGAAAGGCTTGTTGATAAACAACATTGACGAAGTAAAATACTGGTAACGTTTCCATTTCCTGACTGGAAATGGAAAAAAAAAACTCAATTTCCAGTCATTTTGCTGAAAAAATTCCCCACCCATTGGAATGTGAAGACAACCCCCACGTCCTGGTGATGTGTTGGCAGGTTCCAGGCCAAGACAAGCGAATGACAAAGTGTATTTTCCCACACTTTTGGAAAATAACTTTTTAGTACAGTTCAATGACCTCGAATCTAAGTGCCCAAGATGTAAACAGCCCCCTGTTGGATTATCTAAAACATAAACCGAAGGTCAAGTTAGACGTAGGAGAGCACAATGAGAGAGGAGCAGATGTGAGTCGGGTGATCAGACGCCTCACCTTTCCATAGCCGCCTTTCCCCAACACCTTGAGCAGCTCAAAGCATTCGGGCCTGATCTGCTCTGTTCCCTTGTTCACGCTGTTCTCTGAAATTTCAAACTTCTCACAGTCATCCATGTTACTGGCAAAACAAACAAATAAAGAAGATGAGAAAGTAAACAAACAAAAAGCAGAACATTCACTCTACAGTGTGCATTTCCAGGACGTGCAGCCGGAGCCTAAACACAGCGGCCGACCCGTGGACTGTATACAGAAGACCGACAAAGCCACCGTGACGTCACCCATTGTTTCTGTGCACTACTGGTTTGAAGCCTCCAGTTCTGCATTTGGCTGTTTCTATCGAAATCCGACATTACAGGCCAACAGTACACCTGACTGAGAACCTGAGGACAGCAGCAGCTGGCCAATCACATGCAGCCGTGCCCTGAAGCATGCACTGCTTTATTGTCATGTTTATTCAAAATATGGTGCTGTTCACAAGTCTAGAGAGCAGCGACTGAGAGCATAGACTCATTAGGAAGACGTTAACCGAGGCAGTCATATTTCCTGCAGCTTTCTCAATGTGAGACTCTTTTTTTTTATAGACTTCTTGACAATTGGATTTCCTTCTTGAGGAGTCGCCCCTGCTGGGTGCAGGAGAGGATGCAAGGCTACCCCACTTCCACGTTGACTTGACTGTCAGACCCAGAATCAATGTCGATCTTCTGTATACGGTCTATGGGCTGAACTGAGGGTGGTGCAGCTGAATGAGACGGGTGCTGAAAGACCGCTCATATAGATGATAGCATTCCCTATCAAGGATTATATCACTGTTTACAGGGTGACGTCCCCCTTAAAGGGCACCAGAGGTCACTGGATGGTCTGGATGATGTGAACCATGTGCTGTGGTTCCACCACCACCATCAAAACACCAAATGAGGGAACATTTATAGTCAGAATGGGGCTCATCCCTCCTCTCAGCCCACTGTCTTGTTGTTCTGTTGGTCTGGGATGGTCCAAGTGTTTAAGCTTCTCTGATTCACTATGGCAGTAACAGTTAAGTCAGCTTAAGCAGTGATGGTGCTTCTACTGAACAAAACAGATAAAACCAGGAGCAGGAGAGCCATGAAGTCACCAGAGTTATTTACAGGTCCATGATGCTAACGAGCAGCCACCCAAAGAGCAGCCCTGTCCCCTCAGAGAACCACAGCACTGCTTGTACTCACAATTCAAAGCTGCTGCACTGGTCCATGTATTCACTGAGCTGAGCCTGAAAACCAGAGGACACCAGTTAGAGGTACAGGGATGTGAGCAGGACACCAGTTAGAACCTCATGGATGTGAGCAGGACACCAGTTAGAACCTCAGGGATGTGAGCAGGACACCAGTTAGAGGCACTGGGATGTGAGCAGGACACCAGTTCCACCAGCAGCCTCCTTTATTTACACACTTATTAACGCTGTTAGCAGCAGGTCGTTTAAGGTTAACAGGTAACATCACGGCTAACAAACTACTCACAGAACTAAGTCAACAGACACCTTCTAGTTAACAGTACCTTCGCTGCAGTGTCCAGATAAGTTCTACTGGTACCGAACAGAGCAGCGACTGAAGCAGAAACCTCACGTTAGTGTAGCAGCAGCGAGCTAACGGCTAGCTAGCAGCTTGTAGCTACCGCCGCGCTAGCATCAGGAGGCTGGAGCTCGGCTGTACAGTGGCTTTACATTAATATAAAACTGTTATTATACATCCTGTTAATAACGTGAGAGTAGTTGTCAAGCGACACACGTTACATTCATGTAACTAACAGGTAGTTACACGGTAACGTAACTCCAGGGATGCCGATGCACAGTGTTACACCGCTATAGGTCCGTTATCGGACAGGGAGCGACGCCCGCCTCAAAGGATGGAGGACTTGGTTTCGTTTCTCTGCGACTCTACGTGTTTTTTAACCTTGTTTTAAACTTAATTCCTGAACTAAATTCCTGGTATTTAATTATCCACCGTCTGCTCACATAAGACTAAAGGATAATGTGCTTTAGCGGGGGTCGCTTTAAGTTGCGCCTCCGACTCTGAGTGCCTCGTACCGGCTGATAAACTAAACTTTGGTCCTGATAATTATTTTAATCGGTACCAGAGGTGGACCTGGGTTTAAATACGGCGCTACATTTGGCACCGCCAGAATTCGCGGGAAAGGGGCGGACGAGGACACGTCCGATAATGGATGCCGGACCGCTGGTACTAGCAGCGCAGGCCTCGGGGCTGCTAGCTAGCCGGCTAACGGAGGCGGCATCAGCCTCTAACTCACCCCGTCCTCCAGCTCGTCGTCAGAGACATTCTCATCCGGTTGATCCAAATCGATGTCGAACACCCCGGCCATGGCCACGGCACCTCTGTCGGCGTTTAATCAGAAAGCACAGCCCCGCTCCCCCGCCTCATGGGAGAGCCATCACCGCTACAGCCGGCTACAGCAGGCAGCATGGGCTAACCTCCGGCTAACCACAACAACACAGGAGCCGAGCGGCGGAATGAGCCTCTAGTGTCGGCCACCGGCACTGCCCTGCCCGGCCCGGCCCGGCTCGGCTCGGCCCGGAGACACACACCTGAGGACGGGCTAGACAGCTTCCAGGAGCAGCACAGGGTTAAACACATGAGAACAGCAGGAGTTAGTCAGCTGTCCTGGGATTCATATAAAAGTTGTCCCGCTTTTTAAAATGTAAAATTGCGTTTTATTGAACTGGTTTATTGAACTGGTTTATTGAACTGGTTGCTTTGGGTCTGTGGTGTGTTGAAACCAGTCCGACCACTTCAGACATGTGGACCTCCACGTATATTTATTGACTGTTGATTAGTTTGTATTTTAGAGTCACTCTGGTTGATTTCCTTTGATTTTAACTATAATATACATTTAAGCCCAAAGTGGTTCATTTTCTAACAGATTGAATCCATATTTGATTAAAAGCTTTCTGCTGCCTGGAAATGACAAAAACAAGCAGCAAAGGACAAGTCGTTATGTTACACATCTCAATGATCATTTTAATAATTATTCTCTATATTTACACTTTTATTTTTTACTAAAAATGTCCAAAATTATTCACATCAACCGAACACTTCTCAGAACTTTTCGGGCAAATTACAAATTCACTATGAATCAAACTTGCATTTACCTCCAGATATAATTGAAGAGATCATTTGCAAACACAGATACCTCCATCCTCACACACCTTCATAAACCCACGGCTCCATCGTCCACCTGAGACAACATCTATTCAGTGATTTCCCAGGCCTGGAATAAATAAAGTATTTTTCTATTTCTATCAGTCAAACTTCAGTTCTCTCTGTTGTCGTCATTTCCACTGAGTCACATCCGCTCAGCTTCAGTCTGATTGATTTTATCTCAAGCAAACAACAACAAAAATTAAAAATCTACAAAAATGGAGTTATCTGTTTATGCAAATGAACTCTTCAGTTTTATATTTACATTCATATAATAGCTTGTAGTTAAAAGTCTGAATTTCTCTGGCTGATATCAGTGAAGCTGTCCTGGGGCACTAGTTCTGCATTTCTTCGTCACACATCTCCACATTCAGGCTGACTGTCATCTGCATAGGATGAGCTCCATCATTTAATGTGCTGATTATTCTGCTCACAGGCAGAGGTCTCCTGGTTCCTCTGGTTTCATATCCACACGTCAGCCTCCTCCTGTAGTGGATCTTACATATGATCATGGCTGCTCTAGTTGTGGTGGCCCAGCGGTGCACACACACTTTTTAAATGCATTTATTTAGTGGACTAAACAAGAAAACTGTTTCAATGTACAAGTAAAACATGACATATTTATTTTTACATATCAACAAAACTTTAAACTTTTAATCTTACAGGTGTTATCTGTCTGTTGGTGTTTTTATTATTTCATTTAAAACTCTTTATCGGCTGATAAAACTGATGATGCCGATATCACCGTGAACCCCTCATGTCTTATGTGTGTATATTTATGTACATAATCTTTTTTATTTCTGGGGGCCTTAGACCCAATCATAAAACCACCAAGACAACAAGTTAAAGTCACTTTAAAGAGTCTGACAATAAACAACTGCAAACAATCAAAGTTCTTGTGTGTTTAAATCTGAAACAATAATCGATGTCAGTTAGAAGGAAATCGATCCTTAACTGTTTGTATCATCAGTTAATCCATAAAGTGGAGCTTCTCCACGGTGAAACGTGTTTTCATACGTGATGGTGAACATGCTGTATTTGGACTTTAACGTTCTGGGACGTCCTCCTGCACTCTGGGAATGTGCTGTTACTGCACATGGATCAAATGATTGCCTCTGAAAAATAAATGGTGGATTAATTGCTAATAATAAAAACAAATCGTTATGTAACACTGATATCATGATAATATTACACACATGATAAACGTTCCACCACTAGCAGCTACATGATTGAAACTCTCTCGTCACCTCCACACACTCAGGTTTTAGGTGTAACTCATTTGCCACAAAAACGAAAAGACAAAACACAATAAACAGATGAATTAGACAAAGAGCATCATGTTTTAAAATAAACATATAAACCTGAAGATTTAGTGACAACATTGATGCAGTGAATTATTTTGGCTGTGACATCAGACTGTGCAACATGTTACTGTATCTGTATATTATATACTGTAATATGTTATTATTATCATTGTTGTTGTTATTGTTGTTGCTAATTTTGAATGATTTTGATTTTGAATTTTGAATGCTGTTGTTGTTGCTGATTTTATGTTGTTTTTTTTTCTGGTGTAGCAGCTTCCCTGAGGTCTTGTACCGAAGGGATTGATAAAGTTTTATTCTAATTCTAATCATGTTGTGACGATATGACTGCTGGTTACATGAGTGTTAACAGTTAACTCTTGTACCAGGAGCTCTGAAGCTAACTGTAACCAAACCCTCTGTTTTTCTTTTTCTTTTCTTTCTGTAGTTTTCTGACTGATATCCAAAGCCCAGCACCTGGACCAGGACCTACTGTCCTCATACAGTCTAGAGGAGGTGAATCCATCTGCTGCATGTTTCACAGGTTGGTTTTTGGATTCATCTCACTTGCTAACAACCCAGAACATTTGGACATGTCAGTGCAGGAAGAGGGCAGGTATAAATCATAAAACTAATAATAATGCTTCTGTTTCATGATTTCACTTTTATGCGCGTTGGCGCTCCGTCACACGCTGTCAGCCCACTGGCACACCGGAGCTGAACGTTATTGGTACCACCTGAGATTTTCCTGCTCTGACAAGTCAAAATGTCTGCTCTATAAAAAAAACAAAGGTCTGTGTGAGTCTCCACACCGTAAGAGGTTAAGTCTCCGGCTGCAGTGGGTTCCACCCAGCCAGAATCTGATTATGTCCCTGGAACTCGCTGCAGGTTCAGGCTACCAAACCTTCTCCTCACCAGTAGGTGGCAGCAAGAAAAAGGGGAACTTCATCAGGACGTAGACGCGTTTCTTTATGAAATATGAAATGAAGCTGCTGACATGGTGGAGCGAGGTTTATCAGGTGTAGGACGCTGTTGTCAGTAAACCTGGAGGTGTCGGAGCAAACAGAGAGAAGAGCAGCATCTTCTCCTTCCAGGGATGTTTGTGGAAGCTGCAGAAAGAAGCAGAGAACTGTTTCCTCATGTTGTATTTACACGCCTACAGGTTCTCTGCTTTTAGTTTCAAACTACAGCTTTTAAAATGACAAAGTCAGGCTGGATCATCATCATCCTCATCAATGCTCAGCCCACTGGGATGTTCTCTGTGGTCCATACTTCTGATATCAGGATTTAGTAGTAATTAGTTCATTTTATCTTACATAAGACGTGTTGGATGGTCGGTGAGATCAGAGCGAGAATGTAAAGAAAAAACCATTTAATCTGCATCGTTTTGAAGCAAAGTGTTTGTGCAGCTCAGTGGATCTCAGCTGAAGCTCAGATCTAAATGTCAGATTCTTTCCATCTGGGGGAAAACAAAACCAAAAAAAATGGATTTTACAACGTTTTTAAAGATCACCTCCAGACATGTTTTAACACATCACGCTGCTTTGAACAACCATTTGTGGTTGATGGGGATTTCCTATGAAAAAAAAAAAGAAAGAAAAAAGAAAAGTTGAATTTAGCAGTTAGAGCGACTGTTCTCCTGGTTCTCCAGTGTCCGCTCTCAGTGCCGTGGAGGCGTCAAGTTTCCACACAGTGTTTGTTTAAATTCCATATTAAGCTGTAATTTGTTTCCAAACACAAGTTTTAAGGCGACACGAAGTTTCCTCTTTCAGATGAATTCCTCGAACAGCCTCCTCACGTTAAACTGCAGCCGCAGCGTTCTGCACAACAAACATCTGCACAGAGGGTTTTAGTTTTTTATTGATGGAGGGGGACGACGGGACACATCCACCAAACTACAACACATCATCTGCTGTAGTGACACAACAGTTATGTTCCTCTGATCACAATATCTATCAGGGTTTCAGTGAAATGTGGGAAAGAATTCCTCCGTTTAGACCAACAACAAACATCCCTACGGTCTATATGGAGATGACTCATGGTGACGACTGAGACCGACGAGGACGTTCCTGCTGCAGCTCCACATAAACACTGAGGCCAGCAGCTAAACTACGTTTGACCTCCATCACATTTAAGCAAAAGTGACACTGATAACAGGCGAGATCCCAGCACGTCCTCGGTTTAGGAGCTACAGAGTCATTGTTTACCCCAGTGCTGCTTTATTGTGGCGGTTTGCCTGAAGTCTCCATCAGGAGGTTGAGGAAAGCCCCCCTGCAGGTCAGCGGTACCTCAGCTCCATCCCATAGATTGTTCTGCTGTGATTGCCTGGTGATCAGAACCAGCTGCCCGGGTAACAGAATCTGTTTTCTGTGTGTGTTCTCTGTTTTGTTTAGCTGTGTTTATGTTTACAGGACCAGACTAGACACTGGTAGAACGTCGCGGCGCTCTGTTGTGGGCCGCTGTGACGGCCTGAGGTCAGCGTCGTGTTCGCTCACCATCACTTTGCATCTGCATTCTGGTGTTTGGACGATGTCAGTATGGAAGGCCATTCATTTAGAAGTGAGGGTTAAAGCTGTCAGCGTCTTCATTTTTTATTTTTGGCTGAACGCTCTGGCCTGGTGTTTACTGGAGTGTTCCGTCACAATCTGCACGCTTTTATGTGAACGATAAATACCAATAACATGAGAAAACTGTACCGTTTTTATGATTCTCAATTGCCCTTTAAATACTGCTAAACGCCCTAAATGGCAGGTGTTCCCCTTTAACCGCGCCGCAGCCTGTAATTGACACAAATTTTCACAATGTGAGCGAGTTATCTGATCAGAGCCGAGATCCAACAGCAACAGCCGGAGAGACGGTGACGGCGGAAGATTTACCGCGACGCACCGACGGCCTGCAGGAGTTTATTTTCCAAAAGAGAGCACTGGCTGCAAAGTGAGTGTTGAAAGCCAGATATCTATGCATCTGCTAAAGTAATCCCTGTGACCCC